CATGTATTGATGTGGTGCATATTGTTAGAGGGGGTTGGGGCACACATAGGTGTTAAGTAAGCCTTAGGTTAAACATGGTGAAGGTGACACCAGGTGGGGATAACAGATAAACAGATAATCAGAGTTGGAAGGGACCTTATAGGTCATCTAGTCCAACCCCCCCCCACCCAAGCGGGACACCCTACACCATTTCTGACAAATGGCAGTCCAATCTCTTCTTGAAAGTCTCAAGTGATGAAGCTCCCACAACTTCCGAGGGCAAAGCTGTTCCATTGGTTGATTGTTCTCACTGTCAGAAAGTTTCTCCTAATTTCCAGGTTAAATCTCTCCTTGTTCAGTTTCCATCCATTATTCCTTGTCTGGCCTACAGGCACTTTAGAAAATAGCTTGACCCCTTCCTCTCTGTGGCAGATCCTCAAATATTGAAGACCGCTATCATGTCTCCCCTGGTCTTTACTAGACTAGCCAAGCCCAGTTCCTGTAACTGTTCTTCATATGTTTTAGTCTCCAGTCCCCTAATCATCCTGGTTGCTCTTCTCTGCACTTTTTCTAGAGTCTCAACATCTTTTTTTATAATGTGGTGACCAAAACTGGATGCAGTACTGTAGGTGTGGTCTTACTAAGGCTTTATAGCAGTGGTGGGATTCAAAAACTTTTACTACCGGTTCTGTGGCGTAGTGGGTGTGGTGTGGCTTGGTGGGCGTGACAGGGAAGGATACTGTAAAATCCCCATTCCCTCCCCACCCCACTAACCTGCTTTCCAGCTCCGTTCTCCTGTGCAGGGCAACAAAAGAAGACCCAGCCAATCAGCTGGGACTCAATGGGAGGCAGAGAATAGATGGGGTTGGAGGGGCCAGTCAGAGGTGGGATTTGCTGGTTCTCTGAACTACTCAAAATTTCCTCTACCGGTTCTCCAGAACTGGTCAGAACCTGCTGAATACCACCTCTGCTTTACAGAATGGTATTAATACCTCACTTGATCTTGACTGTATCCCTCTGTTAATGCATTGGCTTTTTGGGCGGCTGCTGCACACTGCTGGCTCATATTTAGCTGGTTGTCCACTAAGACAGTGGTCCCCAACCTTTTTTGTACCAGGGACCAGTTTCAAGCACAAACACTTTTTCAAGGACCGGGGTGGGGGGTGGGGGGGGAAAGAGTCCGAGTTTGGTGGTTTGCTTGCAGACGTTTCATTACCTGACTAGGTAACATCTGATGTTGTTACCTAGTTGGGTAATAAAACGTCTGCCAGCAAACCACCAAGTTCAGGGAGTGCCTCGGCTCTGCCTCCCTCAGCCCCATCCCTCAGGTGTCTCCCTCCCTCCCTCAGGTGTCTGCCTCGTTCCTCTCTCAGTCGCTCTCTCGCTGCTCCACCAGCCCAGGAAGAAACTGCTTCAAAGAAGCCGGTGGGGTGGCTTTTCCTGTCGCCACAGCTCCTCCAAAGCGCCCGTTTACCCCCACCCCGCCCGCCCATGCACGGTTCAATTCAGTGCCCCGTTCTGCCTGCCTGCCTGCCTTCTTCGTTTCGGAGCAGCTTCGGCTGATAAAAAGAGGCGAATAGTTATTATTCTCAGCCGAAGCTGCTCCCAAACAACCAGACAGGCAGAACGGGGCACTGAATTGAAGCGCGCGCGGGTGGGCGGGGGTGAATGGGCGCTTCGGAGGAGCTGCGGCGACAGGAAAAGCCACCCCCCCACAGCTTCTTTGAAGCAGTTTCTTCCTGGGCTGGTGGAGGAGCGAGAGAGCGACTGAGAGAGGAATGAGGCGGGAGGAAACCGAAGCCGCTGAGCCGGAGAGCAGGACAGGCTTCGGTTGCTTCCTCCCTCCCCTTCTTTCATTTGTGTCCTTGATCCCCGATCCCAGCAGCATTCACCGAAGGCGAAGAAAGCCGCCATTTTTTTTTAAAAAAAATTTCTTTGCGGCCCGGTACAGAGTGCTCCACGGACCGGTACCGGTCCGCGGCCCGGTGGTTGAGGACCCCTGCACTAAGACTCCAAAATCCCTCTCACGGTTACTGCATGAGTTAGTGAGGGTCAGAATAGGGTTGGGATGTAGACATGTTATAGGGTTAATAGCATTTAGGGATAATGGGTTAGGCGTATAGGCCTGGGTGTGGTGGGGTGTGTCTCATGATAATGGTAATTAAAGGAAAGGGAGCAAACTTAAACCCAACGCAAACCTTGCCTGGCTTTTAGCTTTTCTTGTCAGATAAGAGTATTTGTTGTTTGCTGACCTAATGAAGAAACCTCCATTGCACTACAAAGGAGCTGGAGTTTGTATTCATTTCAGGACAAATCTTCAATATTCAAGGACTGGCTGAGATGTGGCAGGAAAAGCCGTAAAATGGGGCCAGTCTCACTCAACAAATGTCTCGCTTAGCAACCAAAGTTTGGGGCTCCATTGCGGTCATAAGTCAAGGACTATGTCAACCCATAAAATATTTCTTTGGTCTTTTTAGAGTGGCCAACAGAAAGGGAGGGGTGGGAGCAGTGCGGCAGCTTGCAAAACCGAAACTGCATTCCATAAATGTTTTCAAAGATAGTAACTAGGTGACCGAAGTTTCTGCCATGCAAAATTCTAACCGGAGAACATGATGGATGACTTTTGGCTATGGATGTGTCCCATTGGAGAATATGAATTACGATGCACCCAGGGGGTAGGGGAAAAAACCAGGGTCAAGGGTGACAATGAATGATGTGCCTCAGAGTTGGCTACATCCAGGCAATGCTGGCATGTTTACTCCTAATAAATCTTCTTTAAGCTTTGGAAGTTTGTCTCGAGACTCATGATTTAAATGGGGGTAACTGCCGGAATCCTGACAGACTGTCTGTATTTACAACCACTGCAGTGTCCCTGGGTCACGTGCAGGGCTGGGATTCTACCAGTTTGGACCAGTTCTATAGAACCGGTTGTTACAATTCTGTGCAGTTTGGAAAACCGGCAAATTGCGGCACTGGCTGGCCCCTCCCCTCTTGTCGGATTTCTGCTTTCTAGCTAATCTAAATAGCTGTTGAACTGCTTTGCCTTTGCCCAGGAGGCTTCCCTGAGGCCCAGTCAGGGGTGGTATTCAGGGGGTTGGGGAGAAGTGGCCTGAGAGCAGAGCCGAACCTTCCTTAGGACTGAAGCTTCTATTTTTCAGTGCAGACTCAGGCAGCAGATTGCAGAAAGGTAGATCTCTGAGTGAATCTGTGATTCTGCAAGCAACTCAATCTGCTTTGCCTGATTTTGGGTGAAAGTTGCTCTTTTTATACATATATATATATAATTCAATATTTACATAAATATTTACAATATTTACATACAAGCCATGCCCAGCCAGTCACGTGACCACAAAGCCATGCCCAGTCAGCAAGCCACACCCACCCAGTCAAGTGACCACCAAGCCACACCCACAAATTAGGCCATGCCCACAGAACCGGTTGTTAAGAAATTTGAATCCCACCCCTGGTCATGTGACTGCCATTTGTGACCTCATCCAGCTGCTGACAAGCAAAGTCAATGGGGGAAGCCAGTTTCGTTTAATGACCAGATGATCCGCTTAACAACTGCAGTGATTTGCTTAACGATTATCAAATCAGACACCACTCGCTTAACCACCACCTTCCTTAGCAACGGAAATTCTGCTCCCAATTGTAATATTAAGCCGAGGACTACCTGTAAGAAAGTCCCGGACTAATACAGGTAGTCCTTGACCTACGACCACAATGGAACCCCAAATTTCCACTGCTAAGGGAGACATTTGTCAAGTGAGTTTTGTCCTATTTTACGACCTTTCTTGCCAGCGTTGTTAAGCAAACCATTGCAGTTATTACATTAGCAATACAGTTGTTAAGTGAATCTGGCTTCCCCATTAACTGTGCTCGCCTGAAGGTCGCAAAAGGGGAATCATATGATCTTGGGACACAGCAATGGTCATAAGTATGAACCAGTTGCCAAGCAACTGAATTTTGATCAATATGATCATAAGGATGATGAATGGTGTGGTGGCCTAGAGATCTCGCATCGCAATCAGCAGGCTGTGAGTTTGATCCTAGGTAGAGGCAGATATTTCCCTCTCTGGACACAATGTGTCATGCCCTTGCTGGAGCCGACAGGAAGTGGAAGTGTGGCTCCAGAGGTTGTGGAGGAGGCTGGGGAAGGGCACAGGCCGGCTGGGCAGTCAGAGGAAGACCCAGGCCCATCCCCTCTCCATCCTAGGGCACGCAGGGAGGAGAGGATAAGGGAGAAATGTGAATGGTGTGGTCTATGGGGGAGGAAAGGGCCCTGATCCCCTTCATGGGCTAAAGCTGGGAGGACTGTTTAAAAGGACAGACTGCGCATGGCCCAGTGCTGGAAACAAAGCGTGAAAATATTTTTAGTCTGTCTGTTCTTATCTGAGTTTGTCGTTCTTCCCAGTGTGTATTCCGATATCTGTGGACGTCTTCAAGCCCTTATCTTGCCTGGTTTCCTTAATTGCTTCAGTGTGGTATATGTGGGTTTTTTTTCTGTTTGTAATTTGTAGGTATTTTTAGTTTGAACGGCATTTCCTCCTTTTTGCAAGTGTTTGTGGGGGAGATTTTTGTCTCCAGTCAAGGATATTTGGAGCTTTGAAGCCAAGTTGAAGGAATTAAAGGGGCGTCACCTGTTTTTGTGACTTTGCTGATTTTGTGTCCCCACCCTGTATATATCCTCACACAATGAGGATATATCTGCTGAACAAAATTCCACACTGGCGACGCGAAGGGCACCCGGCCATTAAAAAACACTCTGTTAGCTCCATTCAGTTACTCAGACTCCACCCCACAAGGGATTATGGGGTCATTAAATGAAGATGATGATCGTAGGGATGATGCAAACACTGTAAGTATGAAAAATGGACATCAGCCCCTTTTTTCAGTGCTGTTGTAACTTCCGACGGTCAGTAAGCAAACTGTTGTAAGTCAAGGGCTACTTATAAGAAAACTCCCAAACGAATACAACCCCAGAAACGTCTCCAGGTACCCAACCGAACATAAATACTCACCGCTCCTACAGGGTAGACTGGCACATACGCCGTACAAGGCTGTAGCTGAACTGGATACCCTGGGTGCATGTATCCTCCGATGGGAAGGGTCCCGACAGGCGGATGTGTCTGCACTACATAGCCCTGGGCAGCTCCGTTGAACTGAGTTTCCTGCATGTAGGGGTCAGGGGGGAGGCGCGGCAGGGTGGCAGAATGGTGGCGGGGTGGGCGCGGGAGGGTGGCTGACGTGGGGGGAGGCCTGGGGAGAGTAGCAGCCCCTCCAAGCCGGGGCAAAGTGGCTGTTCCCGAATGCACAACCGTAGAAAAGGAATCGCTGTATCCCGGGGTGGGGGCATCCTGAGGAGGGGGAGGGGGAGGTTGAGATTGCAAAAGGGTGTTGTAAGGTGGGGGAGAGGTGTGGGGGGCGGAATCAGGAAGTCCTAAAGGGGGAGAAAAAGAGAGAGAGAAAGGAGTCAAGATAAAAGAACACCACCCAAAATCACATGTCAGCACGGAACAACTCTCAGCGAAGGAAAACCCGGTGAAAGCTTGGCGTCAGCTTTGGAAGCCACATTAGCACCCGACATAGCTTCCACGCTGCCACATTCTTGAGCCTGGGAAAATGGGAGGGGGGAATTTCTTGGAGTGTATGTGGTTAGACATAATAGCATTCTTTTTCTAAGTCAAGGTCATGTTATTTCTGCACCTGGGTGAAGGGATGTTAAACAGATAATCAGATAAGCAGAGTTGGAAGGGACCTTGTAGGTCATCTAGTCCAACCCCCTGTCCAAGTGGGAGACTACATCAATTCTGACAAATGGCAGTCCAATCTCTTCTTGAAAGTCTCAAGTGATAACGCTCCCACAACTTCTGAAGGCAACTTCTGTTCCATGGGTTGATAGTTCTCCCTGTCAGAAAGTTTCTCCTTATTTCCAGGTTAAATCTCTCCTTGTTCAGTTTCCATCCATTATTCCTTGTCTGGCCTTCAGGTGCTTTAGAAAATAGCTTGACCCCCTTCCTCTCTGCGACAGCTCCTCAAATATTGGAAGACTGCTATCATGTCTCCCCTGGTCCTTCTCTTCACTAGACTAGCCAAGCCCAGTTCCTGTGACCGTTCTTCATATGTTCTACTCTCCAGTCCCCTAATCATCCTGGTTGCTCTTCTCTGCACTTTCTCTAGAGTCTCAACATCTCAAGATGTCTCAAGTTGGGATGGATGGTGATTGGGGCATGTGATGCGATGATGGGTGCAGGGGGTGGATTTGTAATTTTTACTTATTGCAAGGAAGCCCGGAACTTTCAGATTTGGGATTCCCCAGATGTGCCAGTTTACTATTCTCAATAAAAAGAACTTTGGAAAGGATGTCTGTCTCGGAGTTATTTGTTGGAATGGAGGTTTTCTGGAACGCTCAAAAGCCATGTGGTTATATTTATTCCTGTTCTATCAATATTCGGTTTCCCTGACTGATCTATTCTGCATCCAAAACACAAATGTACCCATTCAAAATAGATATTTTAAAAACCCAACTCCCGAACTCCCAAACATGAACAGCAGACTCCACAGGCGGCTTTGCAATCTGCCACACCATTCCAGCGCTCAAAATAACAGATTAAAAACAGCAACCGAGACAGATAACTGTACTAAGGTTAGCCTCAGCCCACATTTCCTTATCGGTTTAGGTTATATTTCCAAAGCAAGATCGATCAGGGTGGAACAAACAAACCTCAACGTCTGTCAAGAGAAATGCAACGTGACACCAATGCCCCGTGTTGCTTTATGACTGACCAACGGTCCAGAAACAAAGAGACCTAATTCTGTCACATTGACAACTGCAGAGAAATGGATGTTCAGTCTTCCTGGTTCTCTCCTAAGTCTGAAACCCCCACTAGAAAAAAAGTTTGCCTGCATGAAACAAAGATGGCATCAACACCAATTTCTCCTGTATATAGTTTGACATAGCAATAGCAATAGAATTCTTTATTGGCCAAGTGTGATTGGATACACAAGGAATTTGTCTCTGGTGCATAGGCTCTCAGTGTACATAAAGAAAAAATAAAATACATTTATCAAAAATCATAAGATACAACATTTAATGATAGTCATAGGTTACTAATAAGCAATCAAATCATACTAGGAAACAAATAAAACAATATAAAGTGTAAAGATACAAGCAACACAGTTATAGTCGTAAGTGGGAAGAGGTGGGTACTAGGAAGGATGAGAAGAAGGATGAGAAGTAATATAGTCTTACTAAATAGTTTGACAGTGTTGTGGGAATTAGTTGTTTAGCAGAGTGATGGCATTTGGGAAAAAACTGTCCTTGTGTCTAATTGTTCTGGTGTGCAGTGCCCTATAGTGTCGTTTTGAGGGTAGAAGTTGCAACAATTTTTGTTCGGGATGTGAGGGGTCTGTAAATATTTTCACAGCCCTCTTTTTGACTCGTGCAGTATATAGTCCTCGATGGAAGGCAGGTTGGCAGTAATTGTTTTTTCTGAAGTTCTAATTATCCACTGAAGTCTGTGTCTGTCTTGTTTGGTTGCAGATCCAAACCAGACAGTTATAGAGGTACAGATGACAGACTCAATAATTCCTCTGTAGAACTGAATCAGCAGCTCATTGGGCAGTTTGAGCTTCCTGAATTGGTGCAGATATATAGCACTTATATACCGCTTTATAGTGCTTTACAGCCCTCTCTAAGCCATTTTACAAAGTCAGCATATTTGCCCCCAACAATTTTGAGTCCTCATTTTACCCACCTCAGAAGGATGGACGGCTGAGACAACCTTGAGCCTGGTGGGATTTGAACTGCCAAATTGCAGGCAGCTGGCAGTCAGCAGAAGTAGCCTGCAGTACAGCACTCCAACCACTGTGCCACCGAGGCTCTAAACATCATCCCTCCAAGATAGATCAGGTCAGGAAACAGGTGACCAAGAACATAGGTTAGTCCTCGACTTACAACTGATCCCTTGTTGCTAAACAAGACAGCTGTTAAGTGAATTTTGCCCCATGGTACGGCCTTTCCTGCCACGGGTGACAAGTGAATCACTGCAGCTATTACGTTAGTAATAATATTCTGTAGATTATATTTTAATATTCTGTAGAATATTATATTCTGAGGGGGCCCTTCCTACAAGCACTAGACTAAAATGTGGTTAGACAGTTTGTGGAGCTGTGTATTATGCAAACCTAGCTCAAATAAAAGCTAGGGGGAAAAAAAGCTTGCAGCATAAAGTGATGCCCTGCAGGATTAAATTTTCCTTCCTGTTTTTCCTTTCCCAACTTGGTATTCCACACCGATGGAATACGGTCTTCCTCATTCTTAATACTCACCTTCTACTTTTGTGCATTTCGGCCTTCCCCAGCACTGTTGACATACACAGAAATGGGAAACAAGAATTCCGAAGGAAAAAGTACAATTTTTCCAATTGTGCAACTAGGCCCTTTTCTTGAACTGGGAGATGCATTCAGAGGCTTGAAAAATGCTTAGTAGCTAAACATCCTTATTTTAAAAAAAAATCAACGTATGAAGAATATGGTAGCTAATCTATTTTAATTGCACAATTGTTTTATACTCTATGGCTCAAATACTAGACGTATATCTTTTCTTTTATGTACACTGAGAGCATTTGCACCAAGTCAAATTCCTTGTGTGTCCAATCACACTTGGCCAATAAAGAATTCTATTCTATTCTATCTATTCATATATTGGGGGGGGAAACAAGTGGGCTTAATTAGGCTTCCTAGCATGGACTCTGTTAATCACATGTTCCAGTAAGCCCCATTGAATTATTTCTGAGTGGGGAGGCATGTGTTGTGATTTTGGTCATACTGTATAAACTATTTCCCTTCCAGTCTGAACATAGCAAATTGATTTCTGGAGAGCAAATGAAGCATAAAAATGTCAACAACAACAAAAGGCATAGAGCTGAAACACCAATGCCACAGCCTTGGCTCGAGAGGAGACAGTCCCTTAATGCAGGGGTCCCCAACCACCAGTCCGCAGACCGGTACCGGTCCGTGGAACAAGTCCTACCGGGCCGCTGGCTTGCTGGGCGCTGCCATCTTGTTTTGATGAAAAAGTGCTTCTGGTGAGCTTTTCCGGGTAGAAAGCTCACCGGAAGCACTTTTTCATCAAAACAAGATGGCGGCGGCCAGCTGATGTCGGTACCGGGCCGCACCATAAAAAAGGTTGGGGATACCGGGCCATGGCGTAAAAAAGGTTGGGGATCACTGCCTTAATGTATTACATGGATGTCCCTCATCCTACCAAGAGGCACAGCCCAAGATGGCTGGAAGGTAGCTTCTCCGTGGTACCAGTGATCTGAAATTCTTGTGGTGGTGGTCTCTCTTTCCTTCAGTCAATATTATGCACGTACGCTTCCTTTCAAATCAGTCTGGATTCCTAACAAACCCAAGCTGCGGGATTTGTCTTGGCAAGATTTTTAGAAGCCCCCGCCTTCTTCTTTGTTGGAGAAAACTCCCGAGAAAAAGGATTGACAAAATATCTACACATCCTGGACAAAAAAAATGTTTCAACTCCTCCCCTCAGGACGCCACTGTAGGACATTGCATGCCAAAACAATTAGACATGGAGACGGTTCACTCTGCTGAACAAGTCATTCCCACAACGCTGAATTATGTCTAAAGATATTTACCCATTTAGTTGGACTGTATTGCTATTATCGTAAAGGTGTTTTTTTTCAGGAGGCAACTGGGCTTCCTTGTTTCTCCTTTTGAAGGCATTTCGCTTCTCATCCATGAAGCTTCTTCAGCTCTGACTGGATGGTGGGGGATGGAAGGATTTATCCTTCTTGCAGATGGCTAGTCGTTTGCATCCTTTTAAAGCAGGGGTCCCCAACCATTCATTCTTCGTGGCCCGGTAAAATAAAAATGAAATGATCCCCGGACCGGTACCGGCATCAGCACGCACGACCAAGGCAAGGAGAGCCGAGCGACCGGCCAGCCAGCTGTGCCCCGCTTCTCCCCGCCACCTTCAACTCCTCCTTTGTACCTTCAATGGGCTTTTCGGGCTCTTTCTTAATCTCCTCCTGAGTAACGCAAGACTCCACCGCCATTGGGACGGCTCTTCGTTCGAAGCTGACGAAACTAAGGCGCGAGGATTCCTTCAGCACCCAAATGCCGCTTTCCAACCGACGACCAACAAGCTCACCCGGAAGCACTTTCTCAAGCACCGTTGAAACAAGATGGCGGTGCCCAAATACCGGCGGCCCAGTACAAAATGATCCACGGACCGGTACCGGTCCAGGGCCTGGTGATTGGGGATCCCTGTTTTAAAGGGTCATTGAAACTCTTGGAGGTTTATCTGTGTCTTCAGGGTCACCCCCTGGTTCCTGTAGTCTGCAATTTTTCCTCTGGAAATCCACCTGTCTGCAAGGAATGCAAATGACCAGCTCTGTCTGCAAGGAGTATAAATCCTTCCATTCCCCACTAGCCTGTCAGAGCTGAAGAAGCTTCTTGGATGAGAAGTGAAACGTCTTCAAAAGAAAAAACAAGAAAGTCCAGTTGCCTCCTGAAAAAAGCACCTTTAAAACAACCATGACCTAGATGACTGAGAATCTCTACAGA